TCACATGTCCTGGGCGAGGGAACTGAAGGGACTGAAAACCCTGGGATGTCACAAGTGTTTATTTTTGTCCCCTGGTAACTTCAGTCTCTTCTGTTTCAGGCTCTGAAGCAAAGAGAGGCGATCTTGAAGCTGATTTTGAAGAATGAAAATGTGAGTAGCCTCTTGTTAGTGGCTCATGGCTGCATTACTGCCACCAGTGCAGCTCTGGCCTTGCAGGTGTGGTTTGTAATTGCCTGCCTTGCAGTGAGGCTGAGATGATCTGCCAGGACATTTCTGCTGAGAACTTGGGAACCTTTTGTCAGTCTAGGTGTGGCCTTGCATTGAAGCCCTGCAGTTGGCTCCTTTGTGAGCAGGAGCCTTGGCTTGTGTGGTGAATCACCTCCTCTGAGCAGAATGACTCCATTTCTCTGTCTCCATTTGCTTGTTCTGTTACAAGAGAAGAGATTTCTCTCTCTGAAAAAGGTGAAGGTGAATCGTGTTTAGATCAGGGAAGGAAATGTCAAGAAAATCAAGAAGATGCTGACTCTTAAACTCTTTCTTAGCTCAAGTCAAGCAAAGAGGAATGACATTTTTTAAAAGTGCTGCTTTTGATCCATAATTCAGATTTCCTTCAGAGGAGAGGGGAAGGATGAGGTGTGAGCACACCTGGAAGTGTCTGGCAGAATAGGCAATCCCTGTCCTCAGAGCTTCCTCCCAAATTTAGTCAGCAGCACTAATTGCCTTCAAGTTAGTGCTGCAAAGTGTAGGCTGAGCTCCACCCTAACAAATATTTTTTATTAGTAAAACCAACTTAATTTTTTTGATTTTTTGAAAAATGGCAGCTCACCAGCATCTGACAGAGAACCACACAAATTAGTTTTTCAGGGAGATAAAACCCCAGCCTGTATCAGTTATCCCACAGGAGGAGGAATTGGATCTCTCAAGCCCAGACTTCACATGTCAGGGAGAGTCCTGCCCTCCCTTTTCCTTGCCTGACTTAAACCATGGAATAATCTCCCTCTTGAAAGAAGTCATCCCAGAATTTCAGCCTTTTATTAGACTGACATGGATTTAACTTTTTGAAAAGGAAATACTGATATCATGTTAGGAAAGAACTCAGAAATTCCATAAGAAGATGAAATAAACCTGTGGTTTTGACTGGCAAGAGTTCAGCCTGACCCAGTGCACTGAGTTAGACGCATAATTTTGCCTCTAAATCCCCCAGTTTGGGCATGTGTAAAGCAGGATCAGGTGTGCAGACAACAGAGTTCTGAGAAAACTCATGTGGGCACCTGGGAAAAGGGGTGACTATTCCTGGGATCCAGTTTTTGCCAGGCAGGAGCGTGCTTAGTACAGGATATAGCAATGTTCAGGGGTCCCAAGGATATATCAACAAGGATATGCCAAGGTTAGTACAGGATGGGTGGGGTTTGGTGGGGTTTTGAGCTGAAACATCAATTTCCTGTAACGGTGTGGAACCACTTGGAGGTTCAAAGATTAAGGGAATCATTTACCTCCCCAAAATGTCAAATGAGGATGGTGTCAGAGATGACTGCTGTAGAGCAGAGCTGGCTCTGGAGTGTCCGTGGGCTGAGCTGGAGTTCCCCACAGGTGGACAGCCACGTGGACCTGCTGCAGGTGGCCAAGGAGACCGACGGCTTCTCGGGCAGCGACCTGAAGGAGATGTGCCGGGACGCGGCGCTGCTCTGCGTGCGGGAGTACGTCAACAGCGCCTGCCAGGAGGACGTGTACGTGGGCTGCTGCACCTCACCTCGCCTCACAGCTGCTGCTGCTGGAGCTGAGCTCGCCTGCAGGGTCTCACACAGAGCACTGGCCTGTTTGGCTGCCCACCTGCCACTATACACCCCCCCAGCTCTGTTACTGCTGCTGCTTTTGGCTCTGAAAATGAGCTCAGTGCTGCTGGGACATCCCTCTGGTGTTTGCCATGCCTGCAGCAATCCTGGGTGCATTCAGGGGCTGGAGCGTGGCCAGGGAAGGGAAGGGAGCTGGGGACGGGGCTGGAGCCCCAGGAGCGGCTGAGGGAGCTGGGAAGGGGCTCAGCCTGGAGAAAAGGAGGCTCAGGGGGGACCTTGTGGCTCTGCACAGCTCCTGCCAGGAGGGGACAGCCAGGGCGGGTCGGGCTCTGCTGCCAGGGAACAGGGACAGGACAAGGGGAAACGGCCTCAGGCTGTGCCAGGGGAGGCTCAGCTTGGACAGCAGCAGGAATTTCTCCATGGAAAGGGTGCTCAGGCCTTGGCAGGGGCTGCCCAGGGAGCTTTGGAGGTGTCCCAGGAAGGGCTGGAGGTGGCACTCAGTGCTCTGGGCACTGGGCACAGCTGGGACTCCATGGGCTGGCAGGGATTTGCCAGCCTCAGTGGTTCTGTGATTCCAGCTGGGCCCGTGTCAGAGCTGCTGTTTGCAGGGATGGCTGCTGGCTCTGGGCACAGCTGTCACACAGCCCCTGGAGCCTCACCTGGCTGTTCTCTCTCTCTCCCCCAGCCACGATGAAGATGAGATCCGGCCCGTGCAGCAGCAGGATCTCCACAGGGCCATCGAGAAGATGAGGAAATCCAAGGATGTCTCTATGCAGAACCTGGCCATGGAGATCGTGTTTGATTAAGACAAGAGAGTGTGTTTGCAGTTCCTGATGTGATTTAGTTTGACTTCTGTAATCAGTTAGCAAAACCAGTGTTGGGGGTGGGAGCAGGGGTGGCAAAGGGAGTTCTGTTCCTGGAATCCTTTTTATACAACAACAACCTCTTAAGTTATTGCAATTCCAACTGGAAGTGGAAGCACAGATCATGAGTGGAACAATTCAGCCCAGACCAAGAGCAAGTGCCTGCCTGTTGTCCCCAGGGGTCCCTGGGAGCCTTCCAGCAGGAGTGGGTGGTCCCAGGGCCAGGGGCAGGACCTGGCACGGGCTGTGTGTGTACAGATGGGTGTGTGAGTGCAGGACCTGTACATAGCCACACTTTTTTTTATATATAGACATAATCTGTAGATAACTTGAGTATGGAAAATCTTTTCTACTTCCTGAAGCAAACCAAATCTGAAGCTGTGTAGGGGAAAGATTCCTCGATACTCAGTTCACTTCTACCTTTTAGCAGCAAATGCCAGGATAGAAACTGCTCCTAGAACAAAGCAACATTTGAAATGCTACTGATTTTTCTTCACATGACCACTTGAAATCTGGTGCCATTTAGTCAAGATAGTAAACTACTCTGTAAGAATGTTTGAATACTTTTAATTTTTTATGAATTCTGCTTTTGAAGGCTTTTTAAATGAAGGCTGCTTTTATTTTTGGTTCTCCCTTGCTGCGAGCAGTTAGAGTAGAATCCCACTTGCTGTTTCCTAAAGCCCCACATCCTCTGAGCTCTCTGAAGCCTGAGCTTCCTGAGCTCCTGTGCACTGTCCCAAGGACTTGCTTCTCCCTCCGTCTCTGCAAGCCCCACTGTGTCACTGTCCCCTGAAGTGTCACAGCCCTGAGGCACAGAGGGGACACTGTGCGATGTTTGACTGTCCCATGCTCAGATCTGTGAATGTGAAGAGGAGGAAATGGGTTTGGGGCTTATTGATGTGGTTTAGCAGCGTGCTGTCCTTGCTGGTACCAGTTCTGGTGAATTCCTGTAACGTTCTGTTGCGATAAAGGCCAAGGGCTACAAATGTGAGTGGCAAAAATGTTTGCTTTTTTTTTTTTTTTTCTTTTTTTGTGAAGTTATTGTCAGAGATAGTCAAGAACTTAAGGTTTTTTCATATAATGCTATGAACTGTGCACTAATTGACCCCAAATCTGTAAAGGGAATTACTTGTTCAAAGCCCAGGGGTGCCATGCTGTGTCACAGCTGTGAGGGGAGGGAAACATTGGAGAATGATGTAAAACCAAATGCACTGGAAAGGAAAATAAAGTGAATAAGGAGGGCTGGAGCCCTGCCATGACACGGTGTCAGGGGCTGGTGGCAGTGTCCCTCAAGCTCAGCCTGCTGCCTGCTGTCCTGCCCTCTGGAATGCTGCCTGGGTGATGCTGCAGGGCTGAGTTTGTCCCAATTTAATCTGGAAACCAAATGGGAGAGGGAGGATAAAAATAATTGTATAATTGCTTAGACTTCTTCCCTGTATCAAAGCAATGGGAGATGCACAATGGTCTAACACGGGGGTGCAGGAATTCAGGTACAGCAGAACTGCTGGGATATAGAAATGGGAAAAGTCTGGGATCTGGGATGTCAATCCCATAAATCACTTTAGTGCTGGGGGGTGGGTGAGCCTGGGGTTCAGGAATGAGCCCAGGGGAGGCACCAGGATGGGCAGAGGGATGGAGCAGCTCTGCTGGGAGAGCTGGGATTGTTCACCTGGGGAGGAGAAGCTCTGGGGTGACCAAATTGTGGCCTTGCAGGGCCTGAAGGGGCTACAGGAAACATGGAGAGAGACTCTGCACAAGGGAGAATGGATTCCCAGTGCCAAGGGCAGGGATGGATGGGATATTGGGAAGGAATTGTTCCCAGTGAGGGTGGGCAGGCCCTGGCACAGGGTGCCCAGAGCAGCTGTGGCTGCCCCTGATCCCTGGCAGTGCCCAAGGCCAGGCTGGACCTGCTGGTGTCTCCAAAAGCCCGGCTCGGGGCACGGAGCTGCCCTTCCCTGCTGCCCAAAACTCATGGGGGGCTGGCTGGAGAGGCACAAGGAGTTATTTCTGATTGCTCCCGGGGGCAGTTGCTGCAGCTGGAGTGCAATTCCCACTTCTCTGGGAACCCTCCCATACTTGCCCACTCTTGCTGCTGCTCTGGGAGTCCTTGTCCAAGCACAAACCCTCTGGCAGCTTCCCCGAAAGGCTGAGGAAGCAGCGTGGTTTGGGATGTGGCTGCTTTAATTCCATGGCTCCAGAGGCTCCATCCAAGCCTCAGCACCTGATCCTGCCCCTCTGAAGGGGGGAAGAGCCTGATCCCTCTCCCACAGCTCAAGCACAGCATTGCCGAGGCTGAGTGAGCCCCCAGCAGAGTCCCACCCAAAAAACACCAAGTGAGAGCTACTTACACATATAAATATTTATTTGTACTAAAAGTGAGTGTTTCATAGAGTATCGAGTTCAGAATATATTAAATCATGAGATGCATCAGCTGAGGTACAAATTCCAGTCTCATGTCTTTAATAAATAGACTATAAACCCCCCCAGTCCATGTGTTTTAATCAGAGGTAATTAGGACACTATGCTGGTTTAAGATGATAATACAACATCTGTGCTTTGCTGTGACCACCTGGATTTACTGGTTGGGGGGGAAGGTTTCAACACTGGATTATTTTATCATGAGCAGCAACTGTGCTGTTTCACTCCTTAAAAACCCTAATTGGAATATCACTTTTGGCTGGCTGCCAGAGGGCCTGGCTGGATGAGGCTGCAGCATTTGCCTTGGGGTAAAACACAGCTTTGCTCCAAATACTTTTAAAAAAGACTTCAAAAGTCCCTTTTGCAAGGATGTTCTCCAGTCACAGAGGAGGGCTTGGGCACCGTGCCCTGGCCACAGCAGAGCAGCTCACGGTACCAGGCAGGAGCTGGTTTTGCTGAGCGTGGATCCATCTGGAATTCCAACTGGAGCACAAGAGGAGTGTCACTGCTCTGCCACCTTGGAAAGCCTCAGGCACGGCAGGGTGAGGGTGGGAATGCGATGCTGCCCATGGTGACTTTCACAGGAATGCTCAGCCTGGGATGTGTTTGACCCAAGAGATCAAGCAGGAGGAAGGAAGGAAACAGTGAGGAGTTGGCTCAGCCACAAGGAACTGGAGGTGGTCACAGCTGATCTTAAAAAGTCCTTTTTATAAAAGGGGCATTAAAAAGATTCTGCTGTTAATTAGCAAAAACTGTCTAAGGCACAAGGTGGAAAGGCACTTCTTCATTTCTGCTCCAGGCAGGGCACAGGCAGGATTGATCCCGGAGCTGCTGGGGGGCCCTGGTGGCACCGTGGCCATCCCGGTGGCACGTCCTGGTGCCAGCTGGGAACAAAGGCCCCACTCCCATCCCTTCCAGCTCCATGGGACACTCCCAGCAGCTTTAGGGGGAGAAGGATCAGGCTCAAAGTATTTCTGATTGGTAAAAAACACTCTGACCCAGGTAGGAAAATCCCAGGGTCATGCCAAGTGATCTGTGTCACAGGGAATCAATTGATCATTGCTCACTCTTAATACAGGTATTTCTAGGGAGGAGGAGGAGTTAATTCGTTTTTTCCAGTGACTGGTAGTAGGTGGTGAGGACTTTCCAGGCTTTGGGGGCCATGAAGCCGTCCGGGGGGTTCTCCCCTTCCCGAGCAAGCTTCCTCATGCGTGTTCCTGAGATGAAGTCAAAATCATCGTGCCTGTGTGAAACAGAGAGGTGACATCAGCACAGCTGGCCCGAGCCACCCCCAGGGCTCCACATCCCAGAGGAGCTGCAGTGTCCATAACACTTCCCAGCTGAGGGAGGCTGTGTTCCTATACCCTCTCAGCCCCCCAGCCTGTGCTGCTTTTCCTCCCTGGAGGCATCTTTAGTTGCTGTGACACCTGGGAACAGCTTTTGGAGGAACACTAAGGTGGCTTTCCCAGGTTCTGCCTTGGGAGGAACATGGCTTTTCCCGTCCCCCATGGAACGCTGCGAGCCCGAGGCACCCACAAACCCCACACTGAAAACCACGACGTGGCTGCTGCTCTACCTTTTGGGGTCGTAGAAATCCATGGCTCTCTTGAGCTTGTTGTAGGCAGCCACCCTGAAGGGGAGGATCTCCACGGAGGTGAGGCCGGGGGCCATGCTCAGCACCTTCCCGCCGTGCGTGGCCTCGTACAGGTCCTGCTTGGTGTCGGGGTGCGGCATCCCCGCCGGGTCGCGCCCCACGATGTAGAAGTTGGCCCCCGCCACCATCCGGGCTCGGCAGTGCCACTGCACCTGCAGGGAGGGACACGGGGACTGGGCTGGGGGACAATGGGACAGGGAGGCCCTGGGGAGCCTCGGGCAGGGTGTGGGAGATGGGCTGGTTCCCATCTGGCGGCAGTTTGAATTTGCAGCGTGCCAAAGTGGTGCACGTGGAAGGGGAGGTTCAGCATCTGCCCCTTTCATCCCACTGGTTTAGGGACAGAAGGGAAAGCCCTGGGGGCAAACAAATGAGCGCAGAAAAAGGTGAAGCCTGTTTGCATCCCTTCTCCCCAGCCCTCCACCGCCCAGGAGAGGAGGGGAGCTGATGGAGCAGAGCTCTGTGTGGGACGCTGCAGCAGCAAACACAGGCAAACCATGCAGTGATCCAAAGTGAGGACATGGCTCCATCTCCCTTCCCGGGGTTTTCCAGGCAGGCTGGGAGCACAACCCCCACGGACAGGCTGCCTGCCCTGCTGTGTTACCTCCGTGGGGCCAGCGTAGAGCATGGGAGAGGGGAAGATGGCCACGATGGTGGACTTGGGGTCCAGCACTTGCTCCTCCAGCACGGCCGCGTGCTGCTTCATGCGCCACTCCAGGGGGACGTCGTCGTCCTTGGTCCAGCCGCCCAGGGGGTGCAGCAGCAGCACGGGGTTCTTGTAGCCCCTCTCCAGGAGCTGCCGCCGCGTGTCCTGCATCAGCAGCGCGTGCCCGTTGTGCACCGGGTTGCGCAGCTGGAAGGCGAAGACGGCGTCTGGAAGGGAAAGGTCGGGGGGTCACAGGGCTCAGTCCCACACTCTGAGCCATGACAGACCTGTGTGTGCCCTCTCTGAGCCATGACAGACCTGTGTGTGTCCTGTCTGAGCCATGACAGACCTGTGTGTGCCCTGTCTGAGCCATGACAGACCTGTGTGTGCCCTGACAGACCTGTGTGTGCCCTCTCTGAGCCATGACAGACCTGTGTGTGCCCTCTCTGAGCCATGACAGACCTGTGTGTGTCCTGTCTGAGCCATGACAGACCTGTGTGTGCCCTGTCTGAGCCATGACAGACCTGTGTGTGCCCTGACAGACCTGTGTGTGCCCTCTCTGAGCCATGACAGACCTGTGTGTGCCCTCTCTGAGCCATGACAGACCTGTGTGTGTCCTGTCTGAGCCATGACAGACCTGTGTGTGCCCTGACAGACCTGTGTGTGCCCTCTCTGAGCCATGACAGACCTGTGTGTGCCCTGTCAGAGCCATGACAGACCTGTGTGTGCCCTTCTGAGCCATGACAGACCTGTGTGTGTCCTGTCAGAGCCATGACAGACCTGTGTGTGCCCTGACAGACCTGTGTGTGCCCTGACAGACCTGTGTGTGCCATGTCTGAGCCATGACAGACCTGTGTGTGCCCTGTCTGAGCCATGACAGACCTGTGTGTGCCCTGACAGACCTGTGTGTCCTGTCTCCACACGAGCAAAGCCCCGAACGCCTCAGCTGAGTGTTTCGCACACACACGTCACCCTGCCAAGGTTATTTTCACTGCAGTCCCTTGCTTTGGGGCTGATTTCAGCCCTGTCAGCTCTCCTGCAATGTTTGTGCACAGCACTGGACACCTGCACTGATGGCTTAAGTGATCTGTCACCTCCCCAAGCTCAGTAGCACCTGCAGGAGGGCCAGTGCTCTTTCTCCAGAGTGAGGGTGGGTGTCTGACCCTTGCTATCCCCATTGGACGGGGCTTGGAGCAACCTGGGAATGTGGAAGGTGTCCCTACCCATGGAAGGGGGTGGATGAGATGAGCTTTAAGGTCCCTCCAACCCAAACCATGCTGGAACTCCATGGGACAGAGAGCTGGGGGAAGACACCTGAGCTGAGCCCCAGGTGCGAAGGCCAAGAATGTCAGTGCAGAGAGGATCTGACCTGCCAGGGGGATGTGAGCAGGATGCTCAGCACTTCCCAGCCCATCACAAGCACTGCCCTAACCAAGGAGCTCTGTGCCACTTTCTGTGCCGTGCCCACCCTCCCGACCAGCCCTGTTTTGGGAGCATCCAGAAGCCACCTGGAAGTGCTGTGAGCTTGAGAGGAGTCATGGATCACACCACGGCCCAGTGGGGCAGGAGGAGCCCTGTCACTGGTGTAACCCAGGCCACTCACCAGCATTCATTTCCCTGAACTTCTGCTTGAGTGCCAGCGGGGTCAGGCGGTACTGGTCCAGCCCATCGTTCCATTTGATCTTCTCCAGGACCTGCAGGTCTCCACCAACCAGCCAGTCTCCACTCTCCATCACCATCTGGGAATGACACACACCTTCAGTGCAAAGGGGACAACACACTCTTCCTTCTCCCTCCCCCAGTCTCATTTGAAAGGTGTGAGGCTCAACCCCGTTGGAGAATGACCTTCCCTTGTCTCAGGTGGAAAACATCATTGCAGTGACCACATGAAGGAATGTCTTGGGCAGCAAAACCTCATCAAGTGGGGCAGCAGCCACCCAGTCCCCACCCAGCTGGGTGCTGCACTCCCCTCTGGCAGCCAGCAGTCCATAGGAAGGCACAAAACCTTCTTCCACCTCCCTCTCTGCTTTCCTCCTGGGAATACACAGCAGGAATGAGCCTGCTGCAAGGCACACACCTGCTGCTGATTAATTAAACCAGGCATTTTAAGGGAGGGGAAAGAACTACCACAGCCTTTTTAAGCAGAAACTCAAGTCACTGTGTGGAGCCCAGAGCTCTCCCTTTCTGAGAGATGATGCTCCTTGTACTGCCACAGACTGAGTGGGATGAGAGAAACTGCAAAAACATACCAACCCTGCTGGCTGCCTGTAGGGAAAAGCCAAAAAATTCACTCCTGCCTGCTTGGGATGGGCTGGTGACCAAAAAAATCAGTCCTGCCTGCTCAGGATAGGCAGGTTCCTGGCAAAGAGCTGGGCTGGAAGTGCAGACAGGAAACCCATCACCCTCAAAACCTCGGAAAAATTCACTTCTCCATCCCCTGGCCATGTTTCACACCCGAGGCTGTGCTTCCCGTGGCAGGGAGGGGCTGGACCTAACACTTTGTCTATTTGAGCCAGGTCTTACAAGCTCTCGGAGACCAATATTAGACCCTTGATAGCTCAGCTACTTCAGGTGGCATAAAAGTAGCAGGAGACAGTGACAGTCCTGTGATTGCCCTGTGCCAGTGTTTGGAAACAGAAAAGTTTTAACAAAAGGCAAAATAAAAAAGACAGAGAAAAACCGAGCCAGGTTTTTCTATAGAGAGAAAAACCAAGCCAGGGCAAGAAGTTGTTGCTCCTGCTAAAACACTTCACAAAAGCGATTTACTTCTTGTGTTCTCTTATATTCTAAGGAATTACTTAGATGGGACTTGCTTTTGTCTAATTAGCTGTCCTTAAGTTTGAGGTGAAGTCCCCAAGGTCCTATGAGGTGAGAGAAGCTTCTGGGCTTTTTTTTTAAGTCGACAAATGTCAGAACTCCAAATGTCCCTCAGACATTTTTGGATGTTCTGGGCCCAGGTCAGAAGCATTTGAGACCCTGGCAGGCGGCTGGAAACAGCTGTGATTTTGGGTTTGAACCATGGAACGATTTACCAACCTTGCAGGGACAACAAGAAATCACAAAAGTTTAGATATTAGAGTAGAAGTAGTCAAAAAGTAAAGGGAAGAATTTTTGAGTGCTGTACAGGGGGGTTTAACTCCTGTACAGGGGGGTTTCTGTTTTGTACATGGGAGTCAGAGGTTTTAAGATGGAGGGTTTTGGGCCTGTCCTGTCCTACCTCTTTCTTCTTCCTTACCTCCATGTTCTTGGTGATGTTGGCACTCACAGATTGGTTTAGAGTAGAAAAGCACCATTTCATATAGGTAATAGGCATTGGGGACAAACTGTAACCATGTAACACGTAATGTACCATATAAAAGATAGAAAAGCACCATTTAATATAGGTAACAGGCATTGGAGAAAAACTATAAACATTTAACATGTAATGTGCCATATAAAAGACAGCACAGCCCTGGGTGGGGGAGAGAAGAAGCAGTCGGGAGTCAGAGAGGATGTCAGGGTGTGTGTGTGCCTCTGCCTGAGCTGTGAGCAAACCTCAGCAGCCCGAGAAGAAAATCTTTTAGATAACTTGCAATAAACTGCCTTGAGACAGAACAACAGAGACTGCTGAGCCTTTCTTTGGAAGCTCGGGTTGGAGGAGAGACTTTTCCACCACACGGAGCCAACCCCGACCTAGGGGTGATCTCCGGCAGGCAAAGAACAACTTTTTTCACTCCGCCAACAAGGGTCCCGCCATTGCCCCGTGGGCCCACCTGGATGTGCGGGTGGCGGGGGCAGGTGGTGCCCCAGACGCGGGCGCAGCGCTCCTCCTTCCTGTGCGCGAAGAACTCGGGGTCACGCAGCACGGCCACCCGCCGGCCCTGGAAGCTGAGCGCCAGCGCCTCGCTGCCCTCCAGCCGCTGCTTGTCCTCCGACGACAGTGGCAGCACGATGGGGATGCTCAGGTTCACCACACCGTCTGCCAGGAGAGAGACAGCGCCTCAGCGCCTGTGGGTATCCAGGGCTTCCCTCTGGCTGCCCTGGGACCCTGGCAGGGGTCAGGAACCCCCCTGGACAGAGCCCCCAGAGACACTGTCTGTGATCTCTGTCCATGGAAAAGAGTTTTCAATCTTACAGGATGAATTACCAGCTCTGAGTGTTTGATATAAGTAATGATTAAGTGTGGCACAGGTGCAAAAGTAAAATTTTAGGATTCTAGATTAGCGGTTCAAAGGGAACAAGATGGAGGAAATTGGGTGTGTCTTGTCCTTTTTCTCCTTCTTCATGCCCTCCATGTTTCACTGTGGTGTTGGCATTTTTCTGTTGGTTTAGGCTGGGGACACACTGTCCAACGTAGGTGACAGATATTGGCACGTTATTGTAAATCCAGCACAGGTAGTTTCTGGTATTTAATGTTTGTACCATCCCACTGAGGGCAGAGCCCCACACGCTGCCCTGCAGGACAGAGCTGCGGCAGGGCAGCAGAACATGTTAGAGATAAACAGAATAAACAACCTTGAAACCAGCACAGACGAATTATGGCTTCTGCTTTGGCAGCGGGGCAGAAAGACAGAGACTTTCTACAATCTCGGAATCATCAATAACACAGACTCCAACAAGCGCCCTGCAAGGTGCCTTTTGGCTGCTGAGTTGCTCCACTCTGTATCCCTGCCTTGCTCACTTCCAGGATAATCCTCATTTAGCCTGGAAATAAGTTTTGCGCCTTTAGGACCGGTTCTGAGAGTGAAGTGCGGGGTTGTTTTCACACACTGAGCTGCTCCCCTGCATCCTTCTCACGGACAGACAGCGGGACAGAGCTCGCCTCTGCTTTTAGTTTTTAGCTGGCTGAGGCAGAGAACTTTCTTGCACTGAGGTTTTTTCCTTTTCTTTGGACCTGGTCAAACCTGCTCTGGACTGAACACCCAGAACAGCAGCGGTGCTGGCAACTGTGGCCCACCAAACTGGACATGGGCCGTGGCATTTCCAGCGCCAGAGGGACTGATAAGAGACTGATAAGAAACCGAGTGAGCTGAGCTGAGGGAACTTCCTGACTTTGTCATCTCTTCCAACAGCAAGAGGTTCTACTGTTTAATATGGTTCATTTTTTCTGCTGGTGAATGCTTTACCTGCTAAATAAACAGGGTTTTTTTCCACTTTTCTCCAAGAAAAATCTTTTCCTGAACCAGCTGGGGGAGAGGCTGCTTGAATTTGCTTCCAAGAGGAATCCCTTTGGAGGTTTTCTCCCAATTTGCCCTAAACCAGGACACAGGGACACCAGCAGCACCGTGGGGATGCTCACAACCCTTGAAGGAGAGGGGTTGAACACCCTCCTGTGTGGACAAGAATTTTAAACCAGCCCTGGGAGCACAGGAAACAGAGGTTTTCATGGAAAATCAGTCATTGCAGCAGTTTTCTCTGCACTGCTAATAAATGGTGATGTTAGCAGAATATAAAAGCTCCTTATCTAAGGGCATGGAGCATCTCAGTTCCTGTACTCTCCCTTTCCCTGGTTCTTCTTTGTTAGCTCCTTGTGAAGGTGAAAAATTTAAATGTGCTGGCAAAATGCAACCCTGGACAATTGAAAAATTTCAATGTACTTGGAAAAAGCCTTCTCCTCCAGGAGAACCACCTCTGTGGAGATGGCTCCAGGCTGGTGTTCCCTGGAGCACCCCATTCCCTGCACACCTCCTGGGCTGCCTCTTCTACCACACTCAGTTTTAATTTGTTGGGGTTTTTTTTGGGTTTTTTTCCTGGCTATCTCTATATTGTTACTGTCCCTCCTTTAAATCTCTGCACTGCCCATTTCAAATCTGTTTTCTGTGTGAGTCTGTAAGTGCACACCTAGTTTCTAATTTCAGTGTTGTCCCTAAAAAGACTGAAACCATGTTGGTTTTAACCCAACTCTCCCAATTTCCCAGTGTTCCACTGAGGCCCTCCCATTTCTCCTTGGATATTTGGATATTAACAATATTCCAATGTCAGTACAGGAGAATTGATCTCTTTGATGGGTTTCCAGTCACAAACAAATCACTGATTCAATTCATTCTGATCTGACTGAAATCAGGTTGGACCCTTGAGAGTCTTAATTTGAGGATTTTGACTGTGATATAGATTTTTACTTTAATTTTTATTAAATTATTTGCATTTACTTTAAATTCATGACTGGGTATCATTCATCTGCCAGGCAGCAATTTTCATGAATAATCATAATTATATTCACAGGGGATCCAATCAATATCAACTTCATACATTTAAATCATATAAATAATGATCAGGTAATGAAACCAGCACAGGAAAAAAAAAAAAAAAGCTGCATTATGAAACCAACAAATGCTGCTGAAAACAAGGATCTTCAGGCTCCATTCCCACATGCAGGATGGAGAGGTAACAAAGATCACTCAAGCGCAGGTAATTACAAAATTACACAACTGGGATCTTTGTGCAGGCTGGTCCATAGGACAGGGGTGTGTCAGGCCACGTCACAACTGCCTGGATTATAAAAATGGGCCATGGCTGTAATAATTTCATAATAATTTCAAGTTGGTTTTTTTTGTTTTGGTTGTTTGGGTTTTTGGGTGGTTTTTTTTGGTAAATCTCAAAAAATCATAGGCAGAAAGAATCTCAACTGAGGTAATTTGTGCAGAGCCTGAGAACAGTTCCATACATACCAGCTACCAAGCGCCTCTTTCCTGGGAGAACACAAACACAATTAAGATAATTAACGCTCAGGGGCACGTTACAGAAACCACTTCTAGACTCAAAGCATCTAAAAGCTCCTGCTGGTGTGGCCATGGTCCTACCACAGCCTCACACTGCACTGTCACTGCCACCCCTGGGACAGAGTCAGGGGCTGCAGGTCCCCCTTCCTGGTGGCCCTGCACAAAGCACATCGCCCTGATGGGGCATCCAGGAGGGATTTAGTGCAGGGCACTGGCTTGAACAAGTGTCCCCAAAACACCACGGGAGCTGCCCAAAGCATCAGCCACCCCGGGGCACAAGGGCTGTGCCGATGGCTCTGGGAAGAGCAGGCTCGAGCCTCTCCCTGGCAGTGCAGCACCAGGAGATGGAACCCTCCACCACTTCCCAAAGCTTCTCCAGGAGCACCTGGTGTTCTCTGTCCTGCTCAGATGTCACCCAAGGGCCTGGCCACATGGAGACACCCATGGGGACAGGATCTCCAGATGCTGCTGCCCTCTGCTACACAGCCCTCGCTCTGGAGAGCTCATCCCCCTGCAAAGCTGCTCTCCTGGCCTTTGTCCTGCTCCCCAGAGAGCTCTGCAAACCCTGACCCTCTGCCCACGGAGCTCAGAGGGTTGCTCAGGGATGCTGGCAGCTTTGGGAGGGTACCCCAAAACCAGATACACTCTGGGATGAGCCTCTGGCACAAAGTACAGGGCTCTGGGGCAACGTGGCCATCCCAGGGCGCTCTGCGACCTCCCCAGGCACAACAGGCAGCTCAAAGACCACAGGGGAGGCTCTGATAACAGGGACATGTGCTCCTGAATGCTGTTTGCACCCTGGGCAGGAGGTGAAAGGCTATGGCGTGTCTGGGAGCAGAGCCCCCACACAGACACTCCCACAGTGCAAAGGGAGCACTCCTGAGCTTTGCCTCTGCTGCACGGTGCCCGGATCTGAGCAGCAGCAGCAAATCACTGCCCTGTGGGACCACAGGATCATCTAGAAGGCATGCCAGGCTCAAAGGGACTTGCTCACTCAGACCCCAGAAGGCAGAGATCACTGCCAGGTCTGCAAACCCCAATGTCAGCACCCCGTGTGCAGATGAAGTCACAGCAACAGCATCCACAGCTGAGAAACGGGGTGCAAACATCTGTGCCCCAGTCTCAGTTGTGGATGGCATCACCTGAGCCCCCTTTGCCTCTTCCAGGGATGAAGCACCTCTAACAGGCTGTTAATGCACACATAAATCAGATTTACTTCAAGCTACCATGCTGGAGGAGCAGGGAAATGGGGTGGGGGGCAAAACCAGGCTCTGCTCCTGTTTCCAAGAAGCAGCTGCCTTCTCCTCTCACCTCCAGCTGAGCCTGGCAGCCTCCCTGCTTCCTTGGCCTCGGGTTTGCATCTCTATTTACACCCAGCCAAGCACGGCAAGAGCCACACAACAGCCCCCAGAAGGTTTGAGCAGCACCGTGCGAGGTGTCAGAGCTGTGAGCCAGGGCTGTGCTACAGCAGGGTGACCTTGGCCACCTCCAGGAGGCCTGGTGTGTGCCACAAGGCAGGACAGGAGGACACAGGGGATCCATACCGTTGAGCAGGGTGCCAAAGTGCAGCACTTGCAGGTACTCTGCCTCCCGCATGAATCCTGTCAGAGGAGTGGCCCAGCCTTCGCCCAGCACCTGCACCCACTGCAGATCCAGCTGCAAAACAAACCCAGAGGGTCACACTCCTGTCACACTCTTGTCACCATGTCACGCTCAGAGGTTGCTTTTCCTTCCCTTCTGCTGAAACAGCATTTCATTTTCTTTTGCTTCAAATACAGGACATTCATAAGGGGGAGAAAGACATGGGGGATGTATCTTGGGGCTTTTTAAGCCAGACTCACAGTTTCACAGCACAGCTTAGAATCCCAGAATGGTTTGGGTTGGAAGGGACCTTAAAGCCCATCCAATCCCACCCCTGCCATGGGCAGGGACACCTTCCTCTGTCCCAGTCTGGTCCAGCCTGGCCTTGGGCGCTTCCAGGGATCCAGGGGCAGCCACAGCTGCTCTGGGCACCCTGTGCCAGGGCCTGCCAATATCCCATCTAACCCTGCCCTCTGGCAGCTGAACTTGTGGGGCTGCATGGACACAGCAGAGGAGGCTGACACCCTGCAGCACACCGTGGGGAGGCAATGGCTGAGGATCAGGAACCCACCTCAGCTCACCATAAACCACAGCCACAAAGGGTCAGGGCCATCAGAAGAACACAGGCCCCTTAGGCAACATCCTCCTGGAAGCTTCCACCCTTGGAGCAGCTAAACAGTGTCAGAACCTGTGTGTGACAGTACCTTAGTGATCTCCAGTGCTGGCAGCTTCTCTGCCTCAGCCCGGACACTGCTGACTTTATCCTCAGGCACAAAGAGCTCCAGAACATCCTTGACTGAGCCCTGGGGCACGATGTTCTGAAAGACAGAGGCAGGCAGTGCTTGTAGCACGCTGGTTTTCACAGGCACACCAAAAAGGCAGTGTCCCAGGGCAGGGTTCCAAAGCTGGCAGTGATGGGGACATAAAAGTGACCCACCTGTGCCTGCAGGAGCTCCACGACCTGCTGGATGCACTCAGACACCGATGCAATGTTTGTTTTCAGCACCAGCTCAGGAGCTTTGGGTTTCTCGTACTCTGAGTCAATCCCCGTGAATCCTACAGACAATTAACCCCCAAATTAGATTTATTTAATAGAATAATCAGTGCCTTAGAGCCAAGAACACTATATAAAAAAACAGGGGGCATTCAACCATGCAGGGCACAACAAATTACACTTGTCACAGTAAGATTAGGGGAACAGGATCCTCTTGTGCACTACAAAGGGCCTCCAGACACCCACCCCTATGTGTGGCACTGCCAGGACAAGGCATCCAAAGCTTTGGAAAGCAAAAGGCAAAATAAGGTCTCACTCCTCCATACCTTTGATCTCTCCAGCTCTTGCCTTTTTGTACAGGCCCTTCACATCTCTGCTTTCACAAATGTTTAGAGGAGCATCTACAAAGATTTCAAAGAAAGGTAGTCCAGCTGCCTCATGAATTTTCCGTGCGTTCAGACGATCCTGTTAGAAGAAAGATGGGAAAAATCTGAATTGCAGCAAAAAGACCTCCCTGGATTTTGACACAAGTAAATTAATCTCTCTTATAGATTTATTCAATGCACACTAGTTCTAATAAGGGTTTTTCATCTCACTTCCCTCCTTTTCTTTAAAGATACTTTAAAAAAAAATTGTAAAAATTGGCAACTCTGAGCTGTTTTCATCTTTTCCCACAAAAATCCTCAAGATCTTTTCGCTAGGCAGGACAGCAGAACTTTAGATTGTGAATAATTATCTGCCCTATGTGAAAATGGTCAGATGTTTTCTCAGATGATCTCAGAGGTCTTTTCCAACCCCAATGATTCCTTGATTCTATGAAAAAAGGAACTGCTTGCATCAGCCTGATAACAGCAGCTAAGGAAGTGAAAATCGCAGTCAAATCTTCTTCAGAAAAAAAACAGTGAGAGGTCTAGGACAGGGTGCTGCTTCTGTGACTCTTTTCTGCCTCTGAGGAGTTAACAGCAGGGAGATCTTAAACTCCTCTTAGCCCTTCATCAATTTGCAACACTGAATTTATCCAGCGAGGCCGCCGCCCGCCGAACACCGATGGTGCTCTGCATCCAACAGCGCACTCAGGAAACCCTCTCCATAAACCATCTCCATCATCTGGGGTGAAGCTGAGAAGAGAGCAGGATCTCTGGGGTGCTCAAACACTCGCCTTGGTGAAGGGGGAGATGAAGCTGGTGATGCAGACGAGCCCCGCGTCGGCGAAGAGCCGCGCCACCTCGGCGATGCGCCGGATGTTCTCCTCGCGGTCCTGGGCAGAGAAGCCCAGGTTCTTGTTCAAGCCGTGCCGGACGTTGTCGCCGTCCAGGGAGTAGCAGGGGATGCCATGAGCCACCAGGTACTCCTCCAGAGCAAAGCCAATGGTTGTCTTGCCAGCTCCAGAAAGGCCTGGGGGAGCAGGAAAGCGAGGGATCAGGTTTGAGGTCAAGAGAGCGAAAACGAGTGACACCGGCGGCCAAACTCCTTCTGTCTGAAGTTCCCTACCTCGTTCCTTCCTAAAGGAAGTTGGATTCAACCTTCACAGATGAAGGATGAACCTTCACAGGTGAACCTTCACCTTTTCAACCCTTATTATTGGAGAGGTGGCATTGATGCCCTGAGGAAAGCATCGACAGCCCAACCTCTGGAGGGGTCTAACCCAGCAGTGCGTCTTGCTGGGCCACGCTGGGTTCCAGGAAGCAGGGGAGGTTTGAAAGGATGCTGCTTCCTCCAGGTCTCTCCTCATCTTCCTCTTCCTCCCCCTGCTCCCACTGTCAAGAGCCAGCTGCTGTCCCATTCTGAACCCAAGGAGAGGCTCTTGCTGCAGCCACGTGGAGTGGGACAGGCTCTGGCAGGAAAGGCCCCCCATCACCTCCTTCTCTAGGACAGTATTTGAAAGAATAATCATCAACCAGGTGAGCTCAAACCTTTCAGACACAAGATTTTTGAGTAATACTCAAAAAAGGAAGGAAATTGCCTTGGGTGGGGCTTTTGGCTTCAGAAACTCCATAAAAGCAGATGGTGCACTTCAAAATTGAGGAGGAGAACAGAACAGAAATGCACTTTAATCCAGCATCTACAACCTAAGGTGACAGGAAGGGAAATTAGAATGGCTTTACAAAACCTTCCAAGCGTGTCCTTCAACATCCTCCAGCAGCCAAAGAAAATGCCAATATTTAACAAGCAAAGGAACAACTGGACAACTGGCAAAAGACAGACTTGTCTAAATATTAGAAATGTGAAATGCAATTGTCATTTCTGGCAGCCCCTAATCCCCAAACAATGAGTTTCTACTTCAAGGCAGAAGAGAAAGGCAAAAAAAACAAATGCAAGGGATTGCTTCCAAGGTGACTCTGTGGCTGAGAGTGTTTATTCTCCAGACAAGGTGACTGCCTCTTGCTGCCTCAAACACAGCAGACCTACACGTCCCAAAACCCTTCCCACCCCTCCTGAATGAAAACATCCGCGTTTTGGACAACCCCGGGTACGTTCCGCTTCCAAAAACTGGCTGGATTTGAGCCAAGGCTTCCTCAGCTACACACTTGGGAACAACAAGTGCTACCCCGTGGGCCTCTGACATGTTCAAAGGAGGCTGAGAGCAGCTGGGAAATCCCTAAAATCATTAGTTATGGGCAGCAGCTGCCAGGGAGAACATCTTGCTGCGCCAGCACCGCGCGTCTGCGTTTCCCACGTGGGGATGTTTTGCAATCCCCGGCTCGCAGGGAACGCTGAGGTTTCCTGCAGATCCCAAATCCCCACCTGCCAGCCACGCTGATGGAGTTTCACAGGTGAGGCCATGCTTTCACACCCAGACAGAAATACCTGTGAGCCAAACCGTGCAGCCTCGGAATCCTCCCCTGGTGCCGACAACTTGTCCTCTCTTACTCCTGCTGACATGATGGGCTTGGTAAACCACGTTGGTGGATCCCTGAGGAAACAGAGCAGAACAAAGCACTTCTGTTACCTTTGCTGCTCTCAGGGCAAAAGGAAATCTCTGCTGGGACAAACAGATGGGAGAGAAATGCAAATTCATTAGTGAGGTAGCATGGTGTGGTGGTTCTCATGGTGAACTCTGGTGCTTTGGTGTGAGTTGGATTTCCGTCTCAGCAGCACAGACTCGTGTTTTGGAGGCTCTCTGCCTCTGCCCAGGGTGTTTCTGGTGGTGATGCCTTCGTGCCAGCAGGGAGAAGGTGACTGGCTTTGCTGCAGGAGCACTGCCAGGTGACTGATCCCCCTGCAGGCAGGCAGGACACAGAGCCTGGGCAGAGACACCCTCCCTCCCTTCTCAACAGTTTCAAACACAGACAGACCCAACTATTATTTTAATCATGCTTGCAAAACAAGAGCGACTTCAAGTGCTAATTTACTGTCTGTGTAACACGACAACTGCAGCTGAGGCAGGAGCAGCCCTGAGCTGGGCACACATGGGATGGGAGGCAGAGGAAATGTGATGTGCCATTCCCAGCACAGCGCTGAGCCAGAGGCCTGAATTTTGGTGTTCCTAATTCTGGTGGTTCCTGACCTTGCTGACCCCAGAGTCTCTGCAGGGCTGCAGGTGAACCAGCCTGGCTGTGCCCTGCAGCTCCAGCAACAGCACCTCCACAAGGAATGCTTCACATGGAATATCCACAAGACTTTGTTAATTGTGAGGATGATGTTCCCAACTGAGGCAGGCAAAGGAAAGAACAAGGAGGGAACAAAGATATAAATATATCCTGGATATATATGCAGAGAGAGAGAAGAGAAGGCTGCATGGAGACCTCACAGAACTTTCTAGTATCTGAGGGAGCCTACAGGGAAGTTGGAAAGGGACTGCTCATCAGACAGAACAAGGGGAATGGGCTCAGACTGAAAGAAGGGAAATTGAGGTCAGTTATACAGAAGAAATCCTTCCCTGTGAGGTTGGGGAGTGGTGCCCAGAGCAGCTGTGGCTGCCCCTGGATCCCTGGAAGTGCCCAAGGCCAGGCTGGACAGGGCTTGGAGCAGCCTGGGATGGTGGAAAGTGTCCCTGCCATGGCAGGGGTGGCACTGGATGGGCTTTAAGGTTCCTTCCAACACAAACCATTCTGTGCTCTATAAAAAACCCAAAACATCTCTAGACCTGCCCCTGAGAAGGTGAGTGAATGCTACACATCCTGTGACTCAGAGAATAAAAGATTAAGCCTTGCTTTCTGGCATTTGTTCTGTTTTGTTGCTTTTTTGTGGGATTTTTTTTGGTTTTTTTTTTTTTTTTTTGCAGGGGGTTGTCAAAAGTTTGAACATTTTGGGCTCTCAAAGGTGAGACAGCACCACCACAGATTAATTTTCTGCCATCCCCAGGAGTTCAGGCTGTGTCCCGCGGGAGATGAGCCACGCTGACATCCGTGCCTGGGGAAGATGCAGGACCTGGCACATTCCCACATGGCTGATGTAAGGAGATTGTTCTAAGTACAGGTTGTTGTGCCATAAATCTGTGCTGTGTGAGCATCTCAGAGCTGTTATTTTGCACGCTGGCACCTTTGGGAGCTTGGGAAAGCACCACTGAGGGCATTTTTGTAATTCAGCAACACTGTCACACCTCTCCCACCTGCTGGGAGCTCCAGATGGTACCAAATCCCTCAGATTTTTCTGCTCTGTTCATAAACTTCCCAGGAAACTCTTCCCAACCCTCAGCAACTGGATGGCTGGGCTGGGAGCTTGCTTAGCTGGGAATGGGAAAGACCAAATTTCCAGCTCATCATCCACCAGCTAGGAATGGCTTGGGAAGCCAGAGCTGAAGTGGGGTGGAAGGGAGTGAAGGCACCAGGAAAACTGATCATTAATGGCCTGAGAGCAGATCCTGGAGAGATTTTGCCTAGGAAGAGCATATCCTGCAAGATGGTTGGGAGGCAGAGAGAAGCAGTGGAGGGGGTTTAATCAGATGCAGGGCTGTCCTGCTCATTCAATTTTTGGGGTTTTAGCCCTGCCACTGCAAATCAAAAATATTTCAATAGATAATCCAATCATCATCACAACATCAACACCTGGATGTTGGGCCCTAAAGCAGGGACAATTAAGGACACTGGTAAGCATGTCCTGGATTAGTCTGGGTGAAGGAAATGAGGTTTGGGAGAGGAGCTTCTGACTGATAATCCAGCCCCAAACAAGGCAATAAATGTCCCAGCAGCACTTCCAAAGAAGGGCTGTGTGTCCCCTGCCAGACAGATGACACTGTCACGCTCTCCCCATTCCTTGGAAATCTGCTGTTTGGCCCTGTCTGGATGAGCTCAGTGCTCAGCCCACCCTGCCTTACCTCATCCAGGAAATGAGAAAAAAACCAAACACGTCGCTCCAAACCTTGGGCTGAGGCTGCAGCAGACCAAGAAACCAAACCCTGACTCTGCTTTTGGCCTCCCCTCCTACCAAACCCTCCCATGAAGGTGGCAAACAGGGGGACACCAAGGTCTTGGCTGTCTTTAGCATCAGGCCTGACTGAGCTGCCTGTCAAGGGTCTCTTGGCTCAGTTTCCCAAGGGAAGAAGCTTTCCATCAGCCACCCTGGTGGGACAAGATGCTGCCCTGCTGTGTGAAAGCAGCTTGCAGCCAGAGGCAGGAGGTTTTTCCTGAGTGATCTTCCCTAATAAAGAGATGTGGCCTCTGAAACAGGGCAGTCTTGCTGGAAATCAGGAACCATCAGTGTTCTCTGCTCTGAGAGCCACCATTGCTCAATTCACAGCATCCCAAAGATGCTGTGAAATATCTTTGAAGTAATCAGCCCTGGAAGGGAGTAGCTGTGCTTGCCCACATAAATTATGTGTGACTGCTCAAGGAGATCTTATCAGGGAGCATCTTCTCTTCTCATCTGACAGTTAAAAGCACGCGGTCTGCGGGGCCTCTCCCAGGCATCACTGATGTTTGCTGGGAGCAGAGCTGCTGCACATTTAACAGAAAATGCACCAGACAAGAAACATTTATAATCATAGACTTACAGAGACCTGGAGGCTGGGAAAGACCTTGAAGATCATCAAGTCCAACACTCCACCCAGCACCACTGCTGTGTTCACCACTAAACCGTGTCCTCAAGGGCCATAACCACATGTTTTTTGAACACTTCAGGGATGGTGATTTCACCACTTCCCTCAGCAGCCCATTCCAAAGTTCTACAACCCTTTCCACAAAAAAAGTTTTCTTAATATCCAATCTAAGCCTCCCTGGCACAACTTGGGGCTGTTTTCTCTCATCCTGTCCCTGTTCCCTGGGAGCACAGCCTGAGCCCTGCAGGCTCTTCCCCCTCCTGGCAGGAGCTTCCACAAGGTCCCCCCTGAGCCTCCTCTTCTCCAGGCTGAGCCCCTTTCCAGCATCCTGAGCTGCTCCTCATCAGAACTCCTCCCCAGCTCTGTTGCCCTTTTGGGTTTAGGGTTTTCCCAACAAATTGCATGGATGTTTTGCCATCTCCCAGTAGGAATTCAAGTATAAACTCTGGTCCTTAGGGCAGCACCTCCTCCTGCCTCCACATCCCCAGTTCTTCAACCAGCACCTCCATGGCTGGATCAGGAGTGGGAACAAGGCAAGAACCACCTACAAGTACCACATTCAACAGCTGAGGGTGGAAATGAAGGACAGATGGGAGCTGAGCAGGGCATTTGAGAGATCCCTTGAGTGCATACAACACCCTCAGCCACCCAGAGAAGGCAGAGCTCTGTGATGCTGCAGAAGGAGATCAAGCACCAGCAAGCCACTCTGGCCATTAGGGTGGCCCATCAGGTCCTAAACCCATGTCCTTATGGTGCCCTCAATTCACCCCTGGCTGCTGCAGCTGGCACAGACACGGATCTGGAAGCTGTCCAGGAGCTGCAGCTCATGGCAGGCTGCAGCAGCATCCTGCTCTGGAGAGGGACTCGCTCCCGAAATCACAGTTCACGCCGAGGCTGAGGAGCACCACGCTCACTCAGCACCAGCATCCAGCTGGCAGCTCAGAGCCCCAGGGAAACCCTGACCCGACAGCCAGGGCAGGGTCAGGACTCCCCCAGCTGCCTTTTTATTTATAGGGCAAGCTCACAGCAGCAGGAATATGATTCATTTTTTTCCAGTCAAGCGTTTCACACACACCCTATTTTGGTACCGCAGCCTGGACATGTCTCCAGGAAGGAAAAATTAGATTGAAATAAAAATAGAGGCTTTTGAAATGTTTGCAGCTAATCCTATTTGCAAATGGTAGAATGGGCTTTTAAAATGATAGAGTGACCAAGCAAGCCTTCACTTTCACATAGCAAACAGTGGGATCAAGCACATGAAGGGATTATTGGGGTGTCCTGTGCAGGGTCAGGAGCTGGACTTGATGATCCTTGTGGGTCCCTTCCAGCCCAGGAGGTTCTGTGATTCTGAGTTTGAAGTCAAACATTTCCCTAAGCCTCAGGAGAGTGAGCTACCCTATCATTAAAAAAACCCTCCCAACTCCTGCCAGCATACTGAAAAAAAAAAATGTTCCTGCCAGTTGCATTTTATGTATAAAAATTACATTTATCAAATTTTCCCTTAAAAAAATATTTTATTTTATCAGGGCTGCTGTGGCAAAAGGGTGATACTGTATCCATGAGCAATCAGGGGGGAAAACTGCCTGTAAAAGAGTCATTTGCTGAAGAAGAGCAAAAGTGATACTCCAAAGAAAAGGAGGAAGAGAGGAAAAATGGGGGGTTTGTCTGTGGAAGCAGAGATTTGATTACAATCACATTGAAGAACGATGAGAAACCTTGGCATCTCTAGCTTAGTTCTTGTAACCCAAAACCTATGGACTTTCCCCAGATATTCATTTACTGCACTAAGGCAGAAAATGCTTCAAACCAACCCAGCCCCATTCTTTCCCAAGGGAAAACCCCAGCAAGGAGGAGGAGTTACCCTGGAAATTTTGCCTGTTTAACCCCTCAGGATGCAGGCCCAGATGGGGAAGTGGGAACCTTGGAAGCATCTTTTG